GTCGAGACAGGAGGTGGAGCCATACGACGAAGTGAAGAGCGAATGCGGGGGGCGCTCGACACGGGGTCCCGACCCGACAGGGAGAGGGGTGGGTGGGTGCATGGACTGAGGGACCGTTACACAGAGAGTGGAGTCAGTTAGACGGGAGTGCGCGACTGCGCGAGACGTTTTACAACAACATGACGTGTACATGTACATGTGTGTGCATCGTTCTTGTGAACGATGTGCTTGTGTTGGCTCGCGCGGCTCTCGGTCTCGCGCACACTGTGCGTCCTTTTTGTTTTCTTATTTCACCTCGCTGTCCAGGTTGTGAATATTTTTACTCGTTTTTGAGGTCTCGTCTCTCGTGACTCGTCAAAACGTCACGTCAAAAAAAGTACAAAGTCATGCACAAGCTTCCGGGGCGATAGTTCAAGGGTGTGGTGGCACTGGGCACAGGCAGCATAGACAAGAGACAAGTTAGCGTGGGGTGCGGCACAGGTCAAGGCAAGGCACAAGCTTGTTCAGGGTAGCAGTCAATCATGGGGGAGAGCCCGGGGACGAGGAGGGGGTGGTGGCGAACATGTCGCGCCCGGGTAGGAATAACAACCAGCAGTGGCGTCGGCAGGACACGGCGAGCACCTCACGGTGCCGCCGGCGGCTCGGGTGCCACGGGGTAGGCTACAAGCGGCTGCGCCGGGGGCATGTACTGCGGAACGAGCGGCGAGGAGCGGCGCGGAGACATGAGCGGCGCGAGCGCCGGCGAGGGACTGCTCGTTTGCTGCATGGCGTACGCGGCGGCTGGCATCGCGACGAGGGGGCTGCTCGTTTGCTTCATGGCGTACGCGCCAGCAAAGGCTGGCGGGGCCAGCTGCTCGCGCCTTGCCGAGGTCTGTTGGCAGATGCGGCCAATGCATGGCTTCTTGCGGATGCCCGCGCCGCCAAACTTGGGCTTGTCGCGGCACTCCTTGCACACGCCGCAGTCAGGCGCGCGGCACGCCGGGCAGGTCCCGCATCGGCGCATGATGGAGCTCGCCTTGGGCTTGGCCGCGTTTGCCGGGAGGTAGGCGGGCGCCGCCTTGGGCTTGACCAGGCCGGCGGCGGGCTTGCGCGAGAAGGAGCGCGCGGCAGCGAGCAGCAGCTCGTAGCTCGGCCCCGTCTCCTCCTTGTGTGGCGCGAAGCTCGCAATGTCCTCAGCATCGCCCTCGTCGGAGAACGCAGGCTTGTGCGCGTTGACGAGCCGAATGCGCTTGCGGTCGGGCCTGTCGGGCGAGACGGAGTCGGAGTCGGCATTCTGGGCGCGCAGCGCGTCTTGCCGCCGCCAGAAGAGGTCCCACTCCGCGTCGTTCATCAGGCGGCACGTCTCCATGGGGTCAGTTCGGGTTTGCGACGCGACGAGGCGAGGACTTGGGCGACCTCCTTTTGACAGCACGTCGCCAAGGACGTTCGAGTTTTCATTGGTTTTTAACTCTTAATCGTGAAGTCAAGCTCCGTCAACAGAATGCGCGCTGTGGGGTACCGTGCTGTTGGCTGGTAGGATGTACGAGCTCGTACTGGTCGGGTGGAGCTGCGAGAGAGCTGCGTGCGAGGCGCTGGAAGGTAAGAAAGCAGAATTTTGTGTGTCAGAGCTCTGTCTCTTGTTTGCCTCAGAGAGTGGCGGTGGCTTGCGTGCGGGGTCGTTGGTACTTCCTACGCGCACGGGCCGTCCTTATTCATTCTAGTGCCGCCTCCAACTTTTGCTATGAAACGCGCGTCGGCGCCGGCGTTACAGATGGATGAGTCTTGGCTTGCCGGCGTGGAGTCCGAGCTGTTCCCTGGCGAGCTGCTGGAGCCGGAGCAGTCGTCGCCAGTGTGCGGCAGGCATGAGTCGCCTGACGGGCTGGACTGGCCAAGCCGACCGTCCTCGCACGGCTCGCGGCTGTCGTCGGCAGTGTCGCTGCCTCAGCTGCCGGTGCGGGGGTTTCGCGCGCCCGAGGAGAGTGCTAGCGAAGCAGTGGACATTTACGACCTCGTCGGCTCAATCGAATGGAACAATGAGCTTATCGCGCGAGACTCGACGGCGATGCGGCAACGAGCGAGGGTGCGTGAGCAGACCAACAAGGAGATGAGGGCACGGTGCGAAGAGGCGGCCGCCGAGGAGAGGGCTGCGCGGAGGCAACTGGCTGAGTTGAAGCTGCGCCTGAAGCGCGCCCGCGAGGCGGCGCAGGCTGAGCTCCGTCGCCGGTCGCACGCCGAGCATTACGCCAAGGTTCAGGAGGAAAAGGCGGACCTGAGAAACGAGGAGGTGAACCGGCGCCTGCGCCAGCTACAGCCAGCGAGCCGCGCGGAGCTCAAGCGGGCGTCGCTGATCTTCAACGCAGCGCTGCGATCGCGTCCTGAGGCCAGCAAGGCGGACGGCTCCGATCCCAACCGCAACGGCCGGTGCCTCTCAGCTCCTCCCCTCGCCTCGCTCGCCGCCCTGGGCGCCCGCCGCCCTTGGCTGCCTCGCCGTGCAGCTCTCACCGCCGCTATCCCTCACCGCTAGGTGGTATCAGTTGTTCAAGGCGGCCGCCAACGCCACCGCGGGCCCGCCTCGAGGGATCTGGTTCTCGGAGTTCGTCGAGCTCGCGCGGCGGCCTCTCGGATCCGGCGCTCGCGCGGGCCTCGGCATTGGGCCGAAGGACTTGTCAGATGCGGAGCTGGAGGCGGTTTGGGCGGCGATTGACGAGGATGCGAGCGGTGACGTCAGTGTGGGCGAGTTCGGCCGATTCATGCGCATCGGCGCGATCCGAGCGCCGGGCGGCCATGAGCGATCGGTCTTGCGCGAGCGGGAGGCAGAGGCGCGTCGCGAGGCGGCCGACCGGCAAGCTCGGATGGAGGCCGAGCTGCAGAGGCGCCAGCACAGCCGAGGGGCGGCGCAGCTACGGCAAGAGGCGCTGCGCATCGAATCGGCGCTCAGAGCGCACCATCGCCCAGCCAGTTTGGTGAGCAATGTTCGCTTCAAGGCGCAAGGTGGCAGTGGCTGGGGGACTGCGAAACGGCTGTACCGGCAGGAGGCGCTCCTCGGAGGCACGAGCTTGGCTCGAGGGAAAACAGCGCCAGCACTCCTCCGCCACTCCCCCCCTCCCCCCTAACGCGGGTGTGCAACTCGCGCCGTAGGCCAGGCCTAGGGCCAGGCGCGCAGCCGCCCTCTCCGATGCCGCGTCGACTCGCGTCGCTCGCACGCGCGGAGAGCGTCGGGAGCAGAGAGGGCCTGCGATCGATTCTGGGCACTTGAGGAGCCGGGGATCGAACTTGTTGATACGCCGTGCGCCGAGCCCGTCAAAAAGAAGCCGAGCGCGGGTGTCCTCGAGCCCAAAGTGTCCAAGGGACTAAAGCAAGCGTAAGCCGCCCACCGCCGGCCGCCCACCGCTGTGCCCAACAATGGCGAGTCTTGACGCCGCCTACGACTCCGACAGCGACTCGCATGGCGAGGCCACCTTTGCTGTCAAGGGCCGAAGACTCTCGCTCGAGGAGGTGCTCGCCGAGGTTGAGAACAAGCCGCCTCCGATCGGCAGCGGCGGCGACGAGTTTGCCTCGCCGCGGCAGCGCTCCGCCTCGCTCGTCAACCCGCCCAAGCGCAAGAGCCTGCTCGAGCAGATCGACACCGACTTCCCGGGAACCCGCTCCTCGCAGATGGCACGGCGCTCTCTGCCGGGCGGCGACCGCTCGTCCGCTGGCGGGACTGAGCGCCGCTCCTCGCAGGCCGCGGGCGGCGCCGGGCGCCCACCGCTCGAGAGCCTGGTCGTGAGCGACGCGGCGCAGGACCCCGCGCCGGCCGCGAGTGCCGAAAAGCCGGTCGCGGCGACGCCGCGCCGCCCGACGCCGCCGTCGCCTGCTGACGCTCGCGAGCAGATGCGACGCGTGGCGGCGGCGGCGGCCGGGCCGCACGGCCTGACCAGCGTATGGACGCAGCCCGTCGCGTGCTCGCCGCGTGCGCCGTCTCAGCCCATGGTGCCTCCCGCGGCTTCGCTGACCGCGCCCTCTCCGGCGACCCGGACGCCACGCCGGCGCGGGAGGAAGAACCGGCCGCCGACGCTCGACTCGCCGATGCTCTTCTCGCCCGACGACAGCGGCGCGCCGCGCTGGCCGCTGCCGCCGACGCCGCAGTCCGAGTGGTCCGGCTTCCTCCCCGCCTGGAGCGAGTGGGCGGGCGAGTCGGTCGGCTGGGCCGAGCCCATCTCCTCGCCCGGAGGATGGACGGCTGTCGACGAGCACGGCTCCCCGCTCATGGCCATGTCGCTGGACTCGCCAGTGGAGATGGCGCCGATGGCGGCCGAGATGCCCGGCCCGATGCGGGGCGCGCAGATGCAGGTGCTGCCGCAGCAGCCGATGCAGATGCCCATGCCGATGATGCTGCCGCAGCAGTATGTCCTCGTTGCGCCGCCGCCGCAGCAGCAGCAGTTTGTGGCGGCGATGCCGTACCCGATGCAGATGCACGGCTTCATCCCGATGGGCCAGCCCATGGCGTGGCAGGCGATGCCGCCGCAGGCGATGCCGCAGCAGCAGCCGCAGCAGCCGCAGCAGCAGCCGCCGCAGCAGCCGCCGCAGCAGCCGCAGCAGCAGCCGCAGCAGCAGCCGCCGCCGCATCGGGGCACGTCCTCGCCGCCCGGCGCCACGGCGGGCGGCAAGGTGCCGTGGGGCTCCCTCGTCGCCACCGCGATGGACCCCAAGGGGTCGAGGGAGCTGCAGCAGCTGCTGCCGAAGCTGTCCAAGGGGCAGCTGGCGCGCGCGCGCGACGAGCTGGCACCGCACATGCACGCGCTCTCGAGGCACACGTTTGGCAACTACCTTGTGTCCAAGCTCGCGCCGCTCGCGCCGATGCACGCCGCCCTCGCGGCCGCCTTCCGCGGGCGCGTCGTCGAGCTCCTCTGCCACGCGCAGGGCTCGCGCGTCGTTCAGGCCTACCTTGCCGCCGCGGCGCCAGCCGAGGCGGAGTCGCTGGTGTCGGAGCTCGACGGGCACGTGGTGGAGTGCGCGCTCGACACGCACGGCTCGTGGGGCGTCTGCGTCGCCTACAGCGCCACGCACGCCCCCTTCCTGCTGCGCCAGATCTCGGCGAGCGTCGTCCAGCTCTCCCTCGAGCAGCACGGCTGCCGCGTCGTGCAGTCGGTCCTGCAGGAGGCGGGCAACGCGGGCGTCGACTGCTCAGCGGCGGTCGGCCGCATCATCGGCGGCGGGCTCGAGGAGCTCGCCCTCCACCGCTTCGCAAACTACGCCGTCCAGGTCGCGCTGCGCCAGTGCGGCGCCGCCCAGCGCGAAGCGATGCTCGGCGCGCTGATGCCTCGGCTGCTGCCGCTCTCGGCGAGCAAGCACGGCTCAAATGTCGCCGAGGTGGTGCTCTCGCTCGCGTCGGGTCCGCTGCTCGACGCCGCCGCCGAGTCCATCTTTGGCGCCGGCGAGCCCGCCTCCGCGGCGCTGCGGCAGCTCGTCGAGCACCAGTTTGGAAACTACGTGCTGCAGACGCTGCTGCGCCGTCTCGCCGACGGGCCACGCCGCGCCGCCGCGCTCGCAAAGGTGCGCGAGGCGACGACGGCGACCAACTTTGGGCGCTCGATCCTCTCCCGATTGGGCGAGGCCGAGGCGGCGTGAGCGGCCCGCCGCCTCCGCACTCTAAACTCTGTTCTGTGCGCTCGCGCATCTGGGCCGCGGCACTGTCGTTCTTGTCCCATGTCTGTGCGCTCGCCCACCTCACTCGTTGGATAGTGGTGAGGGAGAGCGCGAGGGGGCACTTCGGCGGGAGGGAAGGGTGCCTCGAGGACGCCGATCGCTCTCGCCGGGAAGGGGGGGGGGGGGCTTGGGACCCGCGGCGCGGAGGGGGGGCGTGTGTGGGATCTCGGTTTGTAGTCTCCGCGTATCTGAATCTGTGTACATAGAGAGCGTCGTCTCCGAAAGAAAACACAACCAGGTGGGGGGTGGCCGCATGGGATGTGGCGGGGGGAAGCACAGACACCGCGTCCGGCGTCCCGACCTTGCTCCTTCCACCCCCCCCTCATTTACCTTGTGCACCGCCTCGTTATACGGCTTTATCCCATCCTTCGTGACGAAAAACGAATAAGCACCAAGCTCAAGTCTCACGAAATCTCTAGTCTCAAATCTCTGCGTGGGTAGCACTGTAGACCCGAGTGGAGTCCTGAGTGGAGTCTTTCAAATCTTTTTAAGCTCTCAATCTCTAAAAAAAAAGACAAGAGAGGGGTAGGGAGGCGGGAAAAGCCAAAAAAGCCGTCCAAAAAGCCACAAAAAGCCAGCTCGCCTCCCGTTACGCGATTGCTCGCGAAGCGCAGCATGAAAAGACTAGAGAGATTTCCATTACTCGTTTGGCGCCCTAGCCAGCAGCGCGCCGCACTCGCACGCAAGACCCGGGCTCCGGGCTCACTCACGCCCAGCCTGAGCCACCGCCTCCCGCAGAAGGCTGGCCGCTGACTGCCCATGCTCCGGCCGCGGTGCAGGCATCACCTCGTGCTCAAACCGCTCCATGGCGGCGAGCATCGCCGCGGCGGTGTCGCTCCGCTGGCAAGTCCTCAGCCGCGCGATCTTGACGCACGCGTCGGGGTCGACCTGCGCGGGGAGGTCGGCGCGGTGCAGGCCGCCGCTCTCGACAAAGTCGACGAAGAGCTCAATCGATGAGGCGCGCCCGCTCGGGCCGCCGCCTGCCCAGTTGCCGCCGACGCGCCGGTCGGGCTGCAAGCCGTCGCCGAGGATGCAGAGCCGCGAGCCCTCGCCGACGCGCGTTGCGAGCAGCTTGAGCTGCGAGCAGCTCGCGTTCTGCACCTCGTCGGCGATCACAAAGGCCCGCTCGTGCGTGCGGCCACGCATGTACGCAAACGACTGCAGCTCGAGCAGGTGCTTGTTCTGCAGCGCGACCCACGCGCCGTCGCCCATGAATTTGTCGATGGCGTCGAGCAGAGGGAAGGAAGCCCAGGTCCTCGCCGGCGGTGACTGCGGGCCGCCCGAGAATGATCTTGCGGACGCTCCCCTCCCGCAGCCGTCGGAGGCCCTCCTGCACAGCGAGTAGCGTCTTACCGGTACCCGCCTTGCCGAAGCCGACGACGACGCCGACATCGTCGGAGCTGAGCATCTGCATGTAGCGCTCCTGGTCCTGATCGCGCGCCTCGAAGCTCCTCCACTTGAGTGCGTACCGGCTCCAGTCGAAGACACCGGGAGGGCGCGACGGCAGGCCATCCCGCATCGTGCCGCCAGCGTGGCCGCCGATCGACGTCCCGAAGCGGTAGGCGCGTTCGGAGCGACGTGACGCCTCGTCGGGCGGCACGTGTGCGTCTGACGGACGCAGGTCGATGCCCCACGCCAGCTCTGCCGTCCGGCGTCGCTGTGCAGGCCGCCTGGCCTCCTCATCCTCCTCATCCTCACGACCGCGACGCGCGCCAATGATGCTCTCGAGGGTCTGGTACTCGGTGGGTCGCGGACGGCGGGATGCCGACAGTGTCGCGTTGGGCAGCAGCACGATGCCATTGCTCGTTTGGAACTCGCATTGCGTGAGTGCCTGTGCAAAGCGCACCTGACCACGCACACTCTGTGGCAGCTGCACAGCGCCACCGAGATTGTTGATGGGAGCCGAGCCACCATTGCGTTCTAGGTAGCTGCGCACGAGGGGCGCCCACGAGCGGCGCAGCTCGCGCAGCACCGCTTTCATCGCTTTCATCGCTAGCTTCCCGAAATCGTAAAATTCGGTTTAAATTTCTTTTCCGCTGCGCCTGTCTTGTGTTACTAGTAGGTGTATTGTTGGCAAACAAGACACAGAGCTCACACAGAATCACAGCGTGTGAGCCTGTTTGTGTCTGTGTGTCGCTCGTGCGTGTCGTCATCATCTGTCTGTCTAGCGTCTAGCGTCCACCCATCCATACATACCGCGTTGGTGTCCAGTCCGAGCCTGGCTGTTCTTTCTACCTACCTACCTACCTGGGTAGTGCCAGTTTTAGGTTCGTTGTTAGCAGATCAAGGCACGTGTGTTACAAACAAAGGCGCCAAATGACGTGTGAGTGTTAGAGTTGTTTGGTATTGCTAAAAATCTCTCTCTCGTGTGTTAGTGCCAGTGCACGCCAGTCTCGAAGAAGAATAAAAGAATTTTCAAACAAACTCCCTCGTAAAGAAGAGAGAACGAAAGAAAACAGACAACGCAAGGGAGGGATGGGCTAGGGGATGGGAGGACGGCACGCCGCCACCACACAGACAGGGATTTTAAGGAGAGGAGTGTGTGGTGGTGGTAGTCAATAAATAAATAAACAAAGAGTCGTAGAAAATCCAAAATCCAAATCGCAAACATAGAAACCCAAACACACACAGCCACGTGGCATAGCGCATAGGAGAGCAGGAGGTGAAAGGAGGTCAGCACGAGTTCCAAGGACGCACGAGCGAGAAGCACAGCAGAGCAGACAGATGACGATCACCACCCAGCGCACGACCGCCAACTCTCCGGCGCAGGCCGACGGTCGAGTCCGGGGGCCGACGCGCGACGGTCGCGGCGCGAATAAACAAAACGGACACGGGGCGGGCAGACGCCCCATATACGCGGGCTGCAAGTTTCTCCGAGACCTCGCGAGCGGCCGGCTATTCACACCTCGGCAGTGTGCTTTGGGCAGGGCAGTGTGGGTTTCACACCCGGGGCAGGTAGGGGATCGGGCAGGTGTGCGGGCAGGGCAGCACGGCAGGGCAGGGCCGGGCAGTTGGGGTCGATTTACCTGAGACAGCCAGTGCCGACACAATTGTGTTGTAATGCGCCTACTCCTCCCCATCTTCTGCCTCGCCCTCGCGCCGCGAGCCGCGGGCGAGCTCGTCTCAGCCGTGCTGCTCCTGCACGACGACGACTTCCACACCTTCCGCCAGGTCTCGGCGGCGCTCGAGCGGCTCGGGCTGTCTCCTCCGCAGGCGCTGCTCGTCACTTCGGATGTGAACGCGATGGGCATCGGCCTGGCCTGCAAGGGCGCCGTGAAGGACCTCGAGGCTGGCAACGCCGGTCTGGTCGCCGCCGGCCTCAACACGACTGTCGTCCGGGCGGACGAGACAGACAGGCAGGTCCGTCTCGCGGCGGATCGCGTGACTGCGGAGAGCGCCGCCTTCCCGTCGTTCGTCCTGCGCAACGGCACCGTCTCGCCCGTCCTCGGTCCACGGGTCGCCGGCTCCTGGCAGGCCGCGCCTGCGACGGAGCCAGGCTGCGCGCTCTGGGCACTGTCCGGCGCCTGCGTGCGTGAGGCGCTGGCCAGTGTGCACGCCTAGCCTCGTCTCCCGTCAGCACAGTCTCCTCACGCCGCGCGGCTGAGGACAGGCGCTGGCCATGTACGTGGAACTCGGCTGCGCGCGTGCTTGCGTCGAGCACGGCGTTCGCTTCCAGCAGGCGGCGCACCGTAGGGAGAAGCCGCGGCTGGGCGTCGCCGCGGCGCAGGTGAGGGCCGCTTCCGAGACACCTCGCACTCCCCTCGCCCGCCACGCACGCCCGCCATCCGGAGCCCACCGCGCCACTCCACGACGCTTCATCGCCCAACCCGCACGCTCGCCTGCGCCAACCTCACCGCCGCCGCCATCGCCGCCGCCATCGCCTGCGCCAACCTTACCGCCGCCGCCATCGCCGCCGCCATCGCCGCCGCCATCGCCGCCGCCATCGCCGCCGCCGCCATCGCCGCCGCCGCCATCGCCGCCGCCGCCATCGCCGCCGCCTCCACCACCATCCATCGCCACCGCCGCCTCCACCATCACCGCCGCCTCCGCCTCCGCCTCCACCTCCACCTCCACTCGCGCTCACCACCCCTTCCTTCGGCGCGGCGAAGGTGGTGGCGGTGGCTGTCGGCGCGTGGGGTGCGACGGAGGGCGTGCTGCGCCTGCTTCCGCCCGAGGAGAAGCAGCCCGTCCGCGTCCTCTCCACCGCGCTGCTCGGCTCGCACTTTCTGGTGGCGGGGCTGTCGAGCTGCTGGCGAGGGGTGGTTGGGATGGGAGGCCTGTGGCTGCTCGATGACTCGGAGGTGGAGGTCAGCTTCGAGCCGCCGGACGAGGAGGCGGAGGGAGAGGGGGAGGGAGGCGGGGGCGGGGACGGGGACGGGGAGGAGGCGGTCAAGGGGGCCAGGGGGGCGGCGGAGGCGGAGGAGGCGGCAGAGGCGGGGGCGGCGGAAACGTGGCTGATCTGGGCCGTCTTCTCTTCGGGCGCGCTGCTCAGCCGGTCGCCTCCGCTGCTTGCCGCGGCGTTCGGTATCGCCCAGGCCTTCGCCGCGCTCACAGCGATCCACGCCGTCGGCGCGGTTTCGTGGAGCGACGCCGAGGACGGCGGCGGCGGCGGCAGGTCCGGTCGCGGCCTGCTGCTTAGCGCGGTCGTGCTCGCGGCGGGCGCTGTGGCGGGCGCATACCACGTGCTCCTCTCCGCGGCGTACATGCAAGTGATGGGGTCGGGCGTCCACGTGTCGGAGGTGATGGCCAAGAAGCTCTCCCTCGTCGGCGGCGTGGCGCTATGGGCCGCGCACGTCGCGCTCCCCACCTCGCGCCTGCTGTCCGACCGGCGCGCCGCGCGGCAGAGCGGCCGCTCGCCGCTCCCCCGCACCAAGCGCGACGTGGGCGGGGCGTCGGCCGGGGGCGGCTCCCCCTCCTCTCTGCTGTTGCTCGCCGGTCGACCCCTACTCGTGGGGCCGAGATCAGCCGAGATCAGCCGAGATCACCAAATCCCCCCCCCCAACAGGTCGGATCCTCGTCGCCGGTCTGCTCGCCGCCGTCGGCGCCACCGAGCTGTGGCGCCTCGTCGACACCCCCTTCACCTCCTTCGACCACGGCGACGGCCACGACGCGCTCTACCTCCGCGCGCCTCAGCTGTTGCTGGTGCTGCCGATCGCGCTGGGCGCAGCCACCGCGCGCTCGTCCACGGCGCTCGCGCTGCTGCTGCTCGCAGAGGCGGCGTGCATATGGGCGCCCCGCGCGTGCACCATCGTCGCGACTTTGTACGTGGCCGACGCCACCGCCGCTTGGGCCGACCCTCAGCTCGGCACCGCCATGGAGCACCTCACAGTCAACCTGGCAGTCTGTGGAGCGCTGCTGCTGCTCCCCGCCTTTGGCTCCGGGCGCTTCTCTGTCGACGAGCTGGTCAAGAAGCAGGACTGACGCAGACGCGCCGTTACCCCCCCCCCTCTCCCAAAATAAAATAAAAGATAACCCCTGGGCATGGAAATAAAGCTTAAAGAGGGTAAAGGGGACAACAGTGCACAACCACTCAGGCGGTGAGAAATCGCCTATATATACGGTAACCGGCGGGCCACACGGCTCGCGCACGGTCTCACGCGCTGTGACTTCGAGTGACTCTCGCGCCTCGGGCTCGCGGCACCTACAGTAGGTAGGAGGGTAGACAGCGCCCCAAAATCCACCAGTGTGGGATTTCGCGCAAATCGCTCGCATGTACCTCCTGCGAGCGCTGTGATCGCCGCAGACTGGCTCCAACTTGACGGCGGCATGGAGACGTGATGCCTCCATGCCGCCGTCAAGTCAAAATCGACATGCGAGTCGATCTTTGCCCGCCAGAGGTACATGCGGCGTTTCGGGCGACAACAGCGCTGTGACCGCGAAGTGGCGGTGGACATGCTCCCATGTTGCCGACGCGGCGCCGGAGTGGCCGGCGCTGCTCGCCGCGACCACGACGGCTACTCTGATACTCCGGGCCGACCCGTCCTACCCGACGGTGGCACTCTTCCACGTCTCGCTCACGCTGAGAAAAATCTGAAACGGCGTGCAGCAGAGTCGCCGACGAGTCGGTCCGCGTGACTCCTCGTGTCCCGCACCGTTCTCACACATCCATAAGCTCACTTTGGCCTCACTGAAGCAAGCCCTCAATCCTGAATCCTCATATTTTAGATTAGGACGCTGTCGACCCTCTATCGCGGCGACCGGGCGTCACGGGGACACGCGGGAAACAAGGATTTACACGGCGCCGGCGAAAAGGGAAAAGATTTTGCGGAATCGGAGAGGTGCTTGGGGGTGGACTGAAGATTCGAGAGGTGGACAACCACGCCGCGCAGCTAAGCCGACGAGCCCATCTCCGAGATCCATCGTCAAATACCCGCCACACCCACGCTAGCATCGTCGCGTGGCGACAACGATGAGGGCGTGGTCGCAGCGGAGGCGCAGGGCGTCACCGACGGCGTCCTCCGTTGCACCTTGATGGTATGTGCACAGAGGAGCCCTCGTCTCAGAACACCGATCGCCACACATGCGGCCAGGGCAAGGAAGCCTGCAATCGGCCCTGCAACCGTGGCAATTGGTGCTGACCCTTGAGGCTTGTCTTGCTCGGGCGCTGACGGCGACGGCGACGGCGACGGCGGCGGCGACAATCGCGGTGGTAGTTGCGGCGGACTGGGGCGCGCAGACGAGTAGATGATCAGGTTTTGAGCGCCCGATGCCCATTCGCGACCCTGCTCCTGCGGGTAGCGGATCAGGCATCCCTTGTCGTCGTAATCCCGCTGCCCACTAACGATGATACCAACCATCTCGCGCCTCTCGGTCTCGAAGACGCCCGACCCAGACGAGCCGACAAACGCGTCCAGGTTTGTGGCGAAGCGAAAGGCCGGAGTACCCGGCCTGGCCACCTGCTGGACTTGTGCCTCGCCAGTGTACTTGCGCGGGAGGCCGTCGGGGTGGCCGATGCCCATGATGGGCATCCCGACCACGACCTAGTAGTAGTAAGCGACTCTTCAAGAAGAAGCAACGCCCATAACTGACGCCAAGCTACTGATCGGGACCTCCGTTTGAGCGATTCTGACGGGTGAGGCGATCGAGGCGGGGACGCTCTGGTCCAGCCGCACGACAGCCCAATCCTGCCCGCCGCTGGACACTGAGACCTCGACCGAGGCGCACGAATAGCGAAGACTGGAAGCAAAGTGGCTGCCGAGGACCATCGACTCGCTGGTGGCGCCGAATATAAAGTCAAGTCTGACGCAAAGGTGAGGCGCGATGCAATGCCCTGCGGTTGCCACCATGTTTGGAGCAATCAGTGTGGCGGTACAGCGGCCTGGAGTTGGCTGGTCGTTGAAGCGCACAGGATTGCCCTCGCAGTCGCCGTTCAGCCGAGAGGAGAGGGACCGCTCGTACCGGAAGACGCCATCGCTGTCAAAGACCAGAGCTTGCTTGTCGACCACCATCGCGGTGGCGTTGCCGATGACACGCCATTCCAGCGGCATCGCGCTGTGCTCCTTTCTAGAGTCGCCGCCGTAGATGGCCTTGATCACCATGGCCGTCGAGTTGGCAGGTGGCGAGCCGACTTCCGAGGTGGCTCCCGGACGCGCCTGCGACAGGACGCAAAGGAGAAGCCGTCGCCCTCACAGATGCCGTCTTTCTCACAGAAGGCGTCGTCGGACTGGTAGTCAGGCGGATGGTCGAATCCGCGAGCACCGTGGTGCTCGCCGAGAGGACCATCCCCATCATCCTGCCAGTATAAAATTCTTTTTTTCGAGTTTCGCGGTCATGACTGGGTTGACGGTTTGGAACAACGATATGGAGGTGTGTCTACCGTGCGATCCTCCGCTCGTGAGACGTCGGCTGGTGCCTGACGACCTCGACAAAAACACGACGTTTCGGTGGACGCCGCCCGAGTTTGCCACCTGGGGCAAGGCGCGACAAGCAGCGTGGGAGGCGCTGCCGACGGCGGTGCGGCCAGCGCTCCATGAGCATGTTGCGCAGCCCGCTCTCCGAGCTCGTTTTGACCTCCGCCCCACTCGTCCCCGCCCCCCAGCCCGACGCCTACTGGTTCAGCTACCTCGGGCCGGGCGAGCGCGCGGTGACGGGCGAGTGGTCGGCTGCGGAGATGGCCGAGCTGCAGCACCTCGCGCTGGAGCACACGGAGAAGGTCGCCTCGGGCGCCTGGGGCCTCTTCTCGATGCACGTGTGGGTACGTGCACCCACCGTCGCGCGGCAGCGTCGGCGACCCGCCGCCGCGCCGCCACCTCCCACCCCTCTCCCTGCGCCTCCTTGTCTCAGGGCCGAACAGGGGCGCAGTGCAAGGCGGCGTATGAATCCCTCTCCTCAGAGCACGCCGGGACGCCCGGCGCCGTCCGCAAGCGTGCGGCCGGCCGGGGCTCGGCGACGGGCGCGGCGGGCGCGGCGGCCACTCCGCGGGAGCAGGGCCCTCGTTCGCTGAAGACCGCGCAGCAGGGCGAAAAGGCGGCCCGGCCCAAGGCGGCGGCGGCGGCGGCGCCGCCCGCCGGCGAGTCGCCGCTCGTCGGCTCTGTCCTCACGTTCGGCGATGCGGGGGCGGCGCCGGCGCCAGCCGGTGGCCCCGAGGCCGGCCGCTCCACCGCAGCGAGGTCGGCGCCTGGAGCCGTCAGCGCGCAGCCACCGTCACGGTCACCGAAGCTCGACGCTCTTGCGATGGCGGCGCTCGAGGCTTGCGACGAGGTGGCGTCGCCGCAGGCGCCGACCCCGATCGCGACGGCCGCGCCGCTCGCCGCCGCGACGCCCTCGTCCACGGACGTCCTCGCCGCCGCCGCCGCCGCGCCTAGCCAGGCGGTTCGACGGGCGGCGGCGCTGATGGCTGCGGCGGCTGGAGGTTTGCTGCCACACACGGCGCCCACATGGCTCACCCCGGTGATCCGGACCTCGCACCTCGAAGGCCACGGGGCTCCTGCCCGTCTCACGGGATGTGGAGGAGAGACGGGGAAGGCCGCAGACTTTGGACACATCACCGACACATCACCGTCGCCACCTGCCCTCAGGCACCGCCACCGCCGCCCCCGCTGCCCCCGCCGCCCCCGCCGCCCCCGCCGCCGCCCCGGACGACTCCGCGGCCCGCAAGCGGCGCAAGGTTGGCGAGGGGTCGGCGCCCGCGCCGTCGATGCTCCCCCCTCCTCCTCGCGCGCCTCCGCCGCCGCCGCACGCTTTCGATCGCGATGCGGGGCCGCTCGACCGTCAGGCCACATTCCGCACAACCCCTGCTGCCCTACCTCCCCAACCCTCCCCCCCAACCCTCCCCCCCAACCCTCCTCCCCAACCCTCCTCCCCAACCCTCCTCCCCAACCCTCCTCCCCAACCCTCCTCCCCAACCCTCCCCCCCAACCCTCCCCCCCAACCCTCCCTCCCAACCCGCCCACCGTCCGCTGCCCGTGCGGGCCTGAGCTGGTCGGGCGAGGGCGAGAAGCCCGCATCCTCGCCGACTGCAGGCGGTGGCGAGGCTGCTTGCGGGGATGCTGGCCACGGTGCCGCCGGCCCGACGCGATTTCCGCCTCCAGAGGAGACTTTTGCCCCGCCTCAGCCGCCGCGCGTTGCCCACAGGCGCCGCGGGAGGAGGCGCCACCGCCGGGCGCTTTGCTCGACGACTCGCTGCCAGCCAGCCTAGATGCCTCAACCGGGTGTGCTGGTGTGCTCTGTGGCCTCTTCTCCCCGCGCATGCGCCGTGCGGTATGACCGCGGCTCCACGCCCCAGCCCACATTGCACAGTCGGGGAGGGGGGGTTGACAACGTCCCATCTCGCGCGCATTTCTTGCGGCTGCACTCACCCCATTCGACGACGGCTTCCCCCCCCCCCGAAGCCGTGGCCCGTCGAGGCTGCAGGCCGTCGCGTGCGACGCGCGCCTTCACCCCCCCCCCCCCCTCCCCCTTGTCTCCGCTTCGCAGGCCTGTCGGCGTCCCTCGCGCCGCAGCTGCAGACGCCGCGGAGGGGGCGCCGGCGGTGGCGCCGGCGCCGCTGCCGCCGCCAGCGCGCCGGCTGACGGCGTCGGAGGCGATCGGGACGCAGGCGGCCGCGCTCGCCGAGCTGCGCATCCAGCGGCGCCTCTCCGCTTGCGGGATCGGCTCCGTCCGCCCTCGCACTCCGGAAGGGGCGAGCCCTTCTTGCGCGAACGAGTAGGCGCTGGCTCAACCACTTGCTCGAGGCGGAGCTCGCGCGCGTCCAGACGCCGGCGCGGGGCGAGGCGGCGGCGCCGGCGACGGCGGCGCGCGAGGCGGCGGCCGTCGTGGCCAAGTTCCGCAAGCAGCGCGAAGACTTGCTGGTGGGGCTCGCCCCGCCACGAGCCACGCCCCTTCCCACCCGCTTCCACCTCCCTCACACCGCTCGATTGCCCCCGTGGCCGCACAGGAGCGGGAGCGGCTGCAGCTCCAGTCGCTCAGCGCTATGCAGGAGTGGGAGGCCTCGGGCCGCCACCCCGCCGCCACCGCCTCGGACGCGCCGCCGGTGTTTCGCGTGTACGCGCCGCCCGCGGGGCTGCCGCGCCGCGCCACCGACTGACGGGGCGGCAAAGGCACGAGGGCTGATTTCCGGTCGGCTATAGCGCTCGCGGCCACAGCGGCCGCCGGCCCGGTGGGTGGCGAGAAGGGGGGGGGGGGAGTTCGGGGAGGGGGCGCGACGCCCCGCAATCGGCACTGCTGCTCGCGCCTCGCGCCACCAGGAGGCGTTGGATGGCGCGGGGCTGGGGGAGAGGGTGGGTGTAAGGACGGAGGCATAGCCGCGGGCGTCGTTAATGCGGCTGCGTTGTTGGCCGTTTGTTGCTTCGAAATAAATAAATAAAAACACCTCTCTAGGACACGTAGGAGATGGGTAAAAAGAGGAGAACAACAACAACAGGTCCCGCCGCCCGTGCGATTTTGTCGGGTGTTCTTTTGTGGGTGTGGTCGGCGACTAGCCGGGGTCGTCCTCACGATGGGGGACTAGCACTAGCCGTCTTCCACGTGGTCCCTCGGGTCCCTGCTGCTCCTAATCTCTTCGTACATCCTCCTGCTGATCTCCGCAAAGTCCTGCTCCCTCCCTCGTCTCGCCCTGCGCGTCTGCTGAGAGAGAGAGAGAGTTTGTTTTGTTTGTTGTCTGCTGTCTTAAGGATAAGGTCCGACAGGCACCGCGCACCGCCTCGGTATACAAAATGCGCCTGCGGGCGGACCCTTAAATCACAGATTACACCGCTATAATAATCGCATTGCTCCCTTCCTCGAGAGAATCGTAAAAAAAACAACAAAAGCTCTCAAAGAAAAACACAAAGCTCACGCGCCAGGCGCGGTGGCTTCAGCACCTATCCTCTCGCCCTAGCTACTCGCGCCGCGGTTGCTGTGGTGCGATGGCGGAGCTGTCGCAGGCTGATGAGGCCAAGCTCGAAAAGTGGGTGGCGGCGAAGAGGTCAAAAAACTTTGGCCTCGCTGATCAGATCCGCGCGGAGCTGGAGGCAAAGGGAATACGAGCCGAGCAGGTTAGGCCTCATGTGTGGGAGCCGCCGGGTGGCCGCGGCCGCGGTATGGGCGGGGGCGGCAGGGGCGGCGATCTGATCCCGATGGGGCGGGGCGGCGGCGGCGGCGGGCCATCTTTTTCGGGCGAGGGCAAGGGCGGCGGCAGCGGCAAGGGGATCGGGCACCCGCCCAACATCGACCCGAGCGTCGGGGACTGGCACTGCGCCTCGTGCGGCAACTGGAACTGGGCGCGGCGCAAGGAGTGCAACCAATGTCACGCGGCGAAGGAGGGTGTGATGCTTGTCAAGGGGAGTGCGACGGTGCTCTCTCCCCTCCTCTCCTCTCCTCTGCCTTGCCACCCTCTCCCCTCGCCTACTATTACCCCCTCTCCTCTCCTCTCCTCTGTCTCCTGACCACTCGCCTCCGCTCCAGCCGCCCTCCCCACCCCTCCTCGCTGCCCTCCTCTCCTCCACCCTCCCCACCGCCTCTGCTGCAGGGCACCAAGCGAGACGGCTTTGGCGGAGGCTTCAAGGAGTTTGATGCCGAAGAAGAGGTGCCACCACCCCCGCCTCCGCCACCTCCCTCTCCGCCACCTCCTCTCTCCGCCGCCTCTTCTCCGTCACTCCCTCGCCGCCTCCCTCGCCGCCTCCTTCTCCGCCTCCCTCGCAACCGCCTCCCTCGCCACGGCTCCCGTCGCCGCCGCTGTCGCCACCTTCACACACCCTTCGCCACCCGCCCACAGGAGCGGCGCAAACGGCGTGCGACGGAGTCGGCCAGGGTAAAGGAGGAGAACAAGGCCCAGAAGAAGAAGTGCCCGTACTGCCACCGCGCAGCGTGCATCTGCTGACGGCGCGCGCCTTTTCTCAGTCTGTTTTGCTGCCCGGCGCCCTGCGCAGACTGCCCTTTAGCGGCAGGGGGCGGCGGTGGCGTGCGGCCGCGCCCAGGCTGCTGTACATCCGCATGCACGTCCGGGGACTGGTATAGTTGGGCACCAGGTCGCTTCGCGCGGCGGAGCGCCGCGAGAGCGGAGCGGGCTGGCGGCGCGCGCGGCGCGCGGGCTCTTCCTCTTGAGTAGTTTCTCTACACTCAGTTATCGGTATCGCTTATCCACTTTCGCGTTTCGGCGCGTCGTCGGGCAGAACGATTCACGGTACATGTTGTGACAAAAATAGACAACGAAAGGCCCGCGCGACGCGGCGGGGCGCCCGCGACACGTAACGATGCATCATGCGCACGATAGACGCACGAACCTCTGCCTCTCCGCACTCGGGCGGCGGCGGCCGGCGCGCGCGGGGGCCCCAACACTCTCAGGACATCCTTCACATGGCTCTGCGTCACAAGTCCTTTACATTCGCCGCCATCCAGCGCAGCCCCTCCCACAGCCCCTCCCCGGTGGTGGCGCACGACCTTTGGATGTGCCACGGCCGGCCCTCGAGCAGCTGCAGCTGCATCTCGCTGGTGAGCTCGTCAATGTCGAGCGAGTGCGGCAGGTCCATCTTGTTTGCAAAGATTAGCACGCACGCGTGCCGCATCTCGTTGTTCGCCACCATCGTGTGCAGCTCCTCCGCCGCCTTTTTTATGCGCGCGCGGTCGTTTGTGTCGACGACGTAAATCAGGCCCTGCGTCCCGGTAAAGTAGTGGCGCCAGAGCGGCCGGATGCTGTCCTGTCCGCCGACGTCCCAGATGCTGAACTTGATGTTCTTCATCCGGCACGTCTCCACGTTGAAGTTGAGCGTCGGGATGGTGTTGACTGCGGTGCCGGCGCGCTTGGGGCCGTTTTTGAGCTTGTAGAGAACGGTGGTCTTGCCGGCGGCGTCCAGTCCGGCGACGAGCAGGCGAACGTCGCGCCCGCCAAACAAGCTAAGGCCGCCTCCCATGCCGGATATCGGCGGGTGCGTGCCAGGCGGCGGAAGCAGCGAGAGTGCAAAGCGCCACGCCCTGGTGCTCCCTTTGCCGCGCGAAGGTAGCAAAGGAGCGCTTGGGAAAAAAACAAAAAACTAGCGCGCTCCAAATTCTCGTTGTGCGACAACGAGGAGCTACTTGTGCAAGAGCTGTGCAGTGTGAAGTGTGCCCCCCCGAGGCGGGCAAAGCGAGTAGTTAACGCTATGATAACAAAAACGAGACAACGAAGATTACGAAAAAAGATCGGGGACGCTACCTAAATACCCTCGGCCGGGACGGCCGCCCTCCCCCGCCGTCTGGGCCCGGCTTTGGGCTTCCGGCACTGGTGACGCCCTCCCACATTGCGCTCATCGCGTCGGATGAGAAGGACCGCCGTCGCAATGCCGCCCTGGCCGGGCTGGCAACCTCGCCGTTGCTGACGGCCCGCTGCAGCCGCCCCGTCCGCTTCGCAGCGCCGGATCTGGCCTTGTCGGACGAAGCGAGTTGCCCCACCGTGCCGGCAGCAGTGGCGGCCGCGGCCGGTGCGGCGGGCTTCGCTTCGCGGGCTCCCCGCCTTCGCCGAGCGCGTGGCTTTGCTGCGCGGGCCTCCTCCCCCTCCTCCCGAGTCGGTGGAGCCGGCGAGATCGTCGGCTCCACCGCCCCGGCGTGCGCACCAGCGTGTACGTCGTTGCGGAGGCGATCCACAAAGCCCGTCGAGTCGGATCGATGCAAAGTCGCCGGTGGGATGGGCGAAGGTGCGAGGGAGACGTCACCGGACTCCCTCCCACAAGACGGCTCGCGCTGCGCCCACGCCGACGCTTCTTCGTCGCCCTTGGAGCTAGAGCAGCTGCTCGTGGCGCTGGCTGCAGCTTCGGCGGCGATAGCCTGGTCAGAGGTGCGCGGTTGTGGCCGTGGCGACGGCGGAGCCGAGACGATGATGGTGTGGAAGTACGACAAGCGGCTCGCCAACGGGTCGCAGTTTGTCTACTTCGGCATGGACCCGGTCGACCCGACGTCGCGCATCGGCCAGGCCGTCATCCAGTACACGCGGCACGCCATCGACGCAATCAAAATCAAGAATGGCGCCACCCATTCTGAGGTGATGTTCACCAAGGACGGGCCCTGTCTGGTCGAGGTCAACTGCCGTTGCCACGGCGGCAATGGCACGTGGATGCCGCTGGCGTCGATGCTCACCGGCGGGTACAACATGGTGACTGCCTCGATTGACGCCTACCTCGACCCCAAGGCGTGGGACAAGATCCCACCCATCCCAAAGTATCCCTTCCAGGGCAGCGGCAAGAATGTGATGTTCGTCTCGTACTGCGAGGGCACGGTGTCTGGCACGCCCGGCTACGACATCATCAAGGCGCTGCCGAGCTTCTCCTCGTGCAACGCCGATATCAAGCCGGGCGACACGATCACGAAGACCGTCGACCTCTTTGGCTGTACCGGCCAGGCCATTCTTGCGCACACCGACCCCGAGGTGGTCGCGGCAGACCTCAAGGTGATCCGCAACCTTGAAAGCTCGAACAAGATGTTCACGCTCGAAGGCGGCGCGGAGGACCGCTTCACCAAGGTCCTCGAGCCGGAGGTGCGCCAGAGCGTGCGCGCGTCGACGATGAAGGAGGGGGCGCGCTCGTCGATGGCGGACCGCATGGCCGGCCAGAAGGAGGCGGCCATCCTCCTCGCCGAGGAGATCAGGCACGCCGAGGAGGTTGCAGAGCTGCACAAGAAGTACCAACTGGCCGGCGGCATCTGCGGCGTCGCCGCGCTGCTCGGCATGTTCATGCTGAAGAAGTGAGTGGCTCCGAGGCACGCACCCACTTCTCTCTGGCGGAGGGGTGGGGACTGGGGTCAGCGGACGGATGCCGGGGACGTCCCCGCGACAGCGCCATAGCCACACCAAGTGCCACACAGGTGTCACACATGCTGCGTCAGAGCGACGGTCCATAGAGTGACCGTCAGCGAGACAGACGACGCACTCGAGCCCTCAACGACACCCCACCGGCCGAGAGTTTCGCGAGGTTTCGTCCCGCAGCCGCGCACGTGCCACGTCGGCGCGGGCGGGGAGTCTCTCTGTCTCGGCCCGGACTGGCGCGTGTACAAGTACGTGCCGGAGGTGGCGAAGTGGTGTCAACAGTAAAACAATTCAGCGAGCGAATAGAGTGGGGTAGACACATAGACATAAGACGGAGTGGGGCGCACCAGAGCCCTCCGGCCAGCCCGCAATCGAGGGTTTAAGACCGACCGCGCTTGGCGGCCGGCGCGGCGGCGAGCGCGATACGCGCTGCTCGAGCCTCCGAGTCTCGCGCCTCCCTCTGCAGCAGCGACTCCTGCCTCGCACGAACCTTGTCGAGGTGCTTTCGCTTCTTTAGCCGCCGCCGCTGCTCGAGCTTGCTCAAACCACTCATGTCCTCGTCGTCCCCCGTAGCGCCGGGCGCGTCCGGCGGCTCCTCTTCCTCTGCGGCCGCCGCCGCGGCGGCACCTCTCGCGGCCTCAGCGCCGCTAGAAGGCCCTTTCCCGGACGGAGCACCTCGCTGGTTGAGCGTGCTCGCCAGCGCAGCCGTCATCACGACCATCTCGTCGTCGTCATCGCCGCCGCCGCCGCCGCCGCCGCCGCCGCCGCCGCCGCCGCCATCCGCCGCCTCCTCTGCCTGCACCTCCGCCCGTATCGACTCCAGCTGCGCGAGCAGCGCCTTCTCCGAGCGCAGCTTCGACTGCTGCTGCGCGTCAGTCTCGACGCCGCGAGCGACGAGCGCCCGGATCGCCTTGACGGCCCGCAGCTTCTTCTCCAAGGCGCGCAGCTTCTTCTCAGCGTCCGTGAAGCGCGGCTCCATCTCGTCGACGGGCTCCGGCTCCGCCTCTGGCCGCTTCTTGGCCGCCGCCTGCTTCTCAGGGAGCGGCGGCGCACGCAGTCCGGTCGCGCCGCGCTTGGCGGTCCGCCGTGGCACGTCGGCCTTGGCGATGCGCTTGCCCTTCTTCTTGCCGCTCTCGGCGCGCGCGATCGCCCGCTTGGCCTGGCGGATCTCGCGCCGTGCCGCGCCGGCTCGCACCATTATTGGGGGATGGGAACGTAGCGTGCTTCACGCCCGTGAAGCTGGAGGCAGCCGAAAACGCTCATTTTTTAGAGACGGCTCTCGAGCTCGACGCGAACGGAGGTTTCCGGACGAGACTCAAGAACGTCAATGAGGGCTGCGAGAGAGAGCCTCGGGTGTGGCGCTACCATCGCTGGGATAGCTTCACATGCGCAAAGATGAAAGAGGGAATAGTCGTTGGATGCCTGCTCAAGGTGAGAGAGATTTTTAAAGACCAACAAGAAATCACGACTCTCAAGGTGAGTGCTATGGCGAGCGATGACGAGGGGTTCGCGCTCAGCGTGACGACCAAACTCAGGGAGTTCATGGCGCTCGGATACCCGGCACACGTGCTCAACGGGGTGATCGGGCGCGCGTTTGCTCGGACAAAGGACGTACGAACGCACCGAACGGCTCCTACGAGCAAGACAGTGTTCGTTCGCAGTGGTGAGGAGGTTTCTTGCAAAACCCTTACCCAGACGAACCAAAAATCCAAAAAGACAGACAAATGTATCTCTGTTGTTTTGTATACTGACGTATTGTGTCGGGCTACCGTCCAAAGGCGGGTGTAGTCGACCAAGGGACCACGAATCTGGTCTGTCGACGGCACGAATTTGGGATGGGACACCTTCGGGACCCGGCTGCGTGCTACTTGGATAGCACGCTTTCGGAGTACCGACGGCTAAGGCCAACAACACAAATCTCTCTCTCTCTCTGAGGCAGAAAAGGTTTCTGTTTTTTTCTCCGCTTTTCTTCACAGGATTTTCCTGTGAAGAGAGACGTAGAGAAACAGATCTTTCAAACTCGGTGTCGACCGCGCGCTGCGCGCGCTGCGCCGCTGCGCGGCGGTCCCGGGTTCCTGGCTGTGTGCCCACCCGCCCAATTTTTTATGCCGGAAATGCAGGATGGAGGGTGCGAGCGCGTCTCGCACAAGGACTCCAAAGGGCTGCTTGGCCGTCGACGTTTGGTGGCACGCGGATCTCTGGCCGAGTCGCAGGGATGTCGTCGACAAGTCTATTCGCGTTCCACTCGGCGCCGAAATCGCCGCTGCCACTTCCGCCGCCGCCGCGGCCACCGTCGCCGTCGCCACCGCCACCGTCGCTCCTGCTGCCGTCGCAGCCCGCGCTTCCGATTCCGGATGTCGACACGACGCCCGTCGACTCGACGGGAAACATCGCCAACAAGGCGATCTACGGCTCCGACTCACGACAGGAGCACAGTGCAATGCCACCAGAGTGGACTCTGATCGGCGATGCCGTCGCAATGATCTACGACACACAGGGGAATCGAGTGTTTGACAGCCAGGGCGTCTTCCAGTACGAACAAAGTCTCCACGACAAGCGAGGCGACTGCGACGGCACGCCGTTGCGCTTCAGCGGCCAGCCCACGCCGGGCCATTGCGCCGCCACGCTGATCGCTCCAAACATGGTGGCCACCGCAGGGCACTGCATCAAGCCTCACCTTTGCGGCAGGCTCGCATTTGTCTTTGGCGCGACCAGTGACGCGATGGTCTTTGGCACTCGCTTTGCTGCCGACCTCCGCTACTCGTGCGCCTCTGTCGAGATCTCAGAGTCGACGGGTGGGCAGGACTGGGCCGTGGTACGGCTGGACCGGAGCGTCCCCGACTCGGTCGCCTCACCCGTCCGCGTCGCAAGCACTGAGGTCACGATCGGGACCCCCGTCATGTGCATCGGCCACCCGGACGACCTCCCGCGCAAGTACGCCGGTGACGCACAGGTCAACGAGGTGATGCAGTCGGGGACGGACGCCTTCCGCTTCGCGACGAATCTGGACACTTTCGTCGGCTCGTCCGGGTCGGGCGTCTTCGACATTGAGAGGCGCGAAATGGTTGGTATCCTCGTCAGCGGCAGACGCGACTATGACGACAAGGGTTGCGCAATCACCTACCCGCTTGAGCGGGGTGGCGAGTGGGTGACGGGCGCTAAGCTCCTGCTCCCCTACTCGTCCGTGCCTGCTCCCTCGGCATCCTCTCCGCCGCCGCCGTCGCCGCCGCCGCACCCGCCGCCGCACCCGCCTAGCGCACCCCCGGCCATCCTCGACGGAGGCGATGACAGTGCCTCCTTCGTGATCTCCGTCGCCGCCGGAGCGTCCGCCGCCGCCGTCGCTTGCCTATGCCTTGCTGCCTGCGTCGCCCTCAAGGTGGCTTCTCCTCACGGCCAAGGAAGCGTAAAGCCTCCGAAGGCAGAGCAAGCGCCCGGCGGTACCACTGGCAATGCAGCGCAGAATTGTTGATATGCGCTCTTGCAAGTGTGCGAGAGAGACTCAGGGAGAGATAGAGAGGGTGTGAGACTCCCCCTGCCCCTCCTTCACGTTTTCTTTTTTAGTCCCCGGAAACCGGTCCCCGAAGTGCGAAGAACAAGAAGGTGACACTTAGACACTACGGCTTTAGAGGTAAGTGTTGTTCCCGGGCACTCTCTCGTTATTCTCCCCCCCCAAGCCTTTGCCCAAGCGCACTCACACTGTTCATAGAGCGCACTCACTTTCGCTGTTCACAGAAAAGCACACGTACGTTGCCGCGGCGCGCGGGCCCCACGCCCCAGCCGCAGCCCCCACCGCACGACGCTATCGAGGGAAAAGCAAAGGGCGGACAAGAGAGGAGTGCGGCGGGGCGCGGCGGGGGGCGCGGGGCGGGGCGGGGGGATTAAGGCACAGTGGGAAAGAGGTCTCGGACAATACCTTCTAGATGACAAAGGTCAAGGACGATCCGGGCATGTCAAACGGCTTGGAGGGACCCGGCTCGGGAATGTCAGTAATCGAGGCATACGGGTCGGGGGGGCACGGGTCGGGGGGGCACGGGTCGGGGGGGCACGGGTCGGGGGGGCACGGGTCGGGGGGGCACGGGTCGGGGGGGCACGGGTCGGGGGGGCCGCACGGGGGGGGGCACGGCTTGGGGCACGGCGGGGGGCACACGGGGCAAGGCTGCGGGCAGCACGGTAGCCAGGAAGGGCAGCGCACCCAAATCACGATCGCCACTAATGCGACGACGAAAGCCAGAACAATGACGACGCCGACGACGATGACGACGACGATGACAACGATATCACAAGGCGGAGGCGGCGGAGGCGGCGGAGGTGGCGGAGGGCCTTCATTCAGCCGGCGAGGGCCAAGACTGATCGGCTGCGTCGGCTTGGTCCGATCGGCTGCGCTTGACAGAAAGCCGAAGAGAGGCGGCGGCGGAGCCGCGAGTGGAGGCAGCCTGGACGGCGGCAGCGACGGCGGGAGCGGCGGCGGCGACGGCGTGGGAGGCGGAGGCGGAGACGCGGGCGGAGACGGAGGCAGCGGCGGCGGCGCCGGCGGTGACGGCGGTGAAGCAGGCGACAGGTCGGCCGCGAGCGCCCTTTTCACGGCGGCGGCAGCCCCCGCCTCCTCGGCCGCCCTGCCCTTCTCCAGCGCGTCAGCGGCAGCCTCTCCCGTCGGTTCAGCCGTTGCAATTCTGGCGACGAGGCGGCGCAGCTCGGCCGACTTGACGGGCCGCATCTCGGCCTCGGCCTTGCGCGTGCCCGCGGGAGATTGGTGGCCGAGGCCGATCAACAGCAGCGCCGCTGCAGCGAACAGCAGAGCGGCGGCGCGGAGGGATCTCGTGGCAATCATGTGTCGCCATTGAGGCGGTGTCTTGAGGCGACTGTCTTTCATCGAGATCTCGCCTCCTTTGGTGTGAATACGACGTATTTTCTTTTGCCCCCCCCCCCCGGGGGGGGGGGCTTTG